TGAAGCAGTACGTAAGTCAGGTTATGATGTAATTCAAGAAAAGAGTGTGTTACTGTTATTCTTGTGTTCCATCAAACTGTGTGATTTATGGAAACACTATGAATCCTGGATAGCCCTGCTCCGCTCCTGTAAAGGCAAAGGCCATGGCTTCCTTTATGGAATGAATGCATCTCATATTTGGTCTTCCTCTTTTCCTGCTGCCTGCAACTTTTCCTGGCATGGTTGGCACCTTCGGTGAGTCTTGCTTTCTTGTGATCTGGCCAAAGTATGACAGCCTCGATTTCATCATTTCTGTTTCCAGAGAAAGTGCAGGCTTGGTTTGATCTAGGACCCACTTGTTCATCTTTCTGGATGACCAAGATAGCCCCAAAACTCTCCTTCAGCACTACAGTTGAAACAAATCATTTTCTCTTTCTCTTTTAGCCACAATTCAGCCGGTGAAGCTTTTCCCCAGCTTGGAGGTGCAGTGAAGGAAGAAAAAGGTATTTTAATGGTTAAACTGTTGGCTGCATTGCAGCAATAGTATAAACTGAAGGGGGAAAAGAAAATTCTAAACTGGGAATTGCAATTTTCGAAGAGTATAATTTTTTTATTTGATTTATATCCCGCCCACCTGGTCTGGTCAACCACTCTATAACCACCCAGGTAAAGTAGTTTCTGGATCTCAGCTGCCAGCATCCACCAACCAACATGGCCTGTAGTGAATTGAAAGCGGGGAGTGGGGGACTGAAAGTTATTTGCAAAAGTTCCTTTTTCCCAAGCTCAGCAGCAAAGCTTCCCCCCCTTATCCCCCACTACCTTTTGTGTGCCCTTTGGTGGGAATACTGAACAGGGGCTCCTGACATGTGGCCCCCAGTCTTTGAAACGACATTTCTTCAAGAGGATAGATGAGAGAGAATTTTTGTTTCTCGTTAAATATCTAAAGCTCCAGACTTGAGATTTAAAATAAAACCCACCCACCCAGGGAGAGCATCAGGCTGAGAACTCCTGTGTTTTCAAGGCAGGAGACCTCCTACCATCCAGGAGACGTCATAACAATGCCAAATGTCTCAGTGCCTGCTGGGGCCAACCCTGCCAAAATGCCCAATATCTCCATGCCTGGAGGCAAACCAAACTACCTCTGTGCTATCTGTCTCTGTGCCTGGAATCTTCTGTGGACCAAGCTACTGAATAACAGAACAGAATAACACCTTATTGGCATTGCATGTGCAACGAAATCACCAGAGTGCTATCCATCACTCATTCAGCTAAGACTCCATGTAACTCCTTACAAAAATTACAACATAATCTTCTTAGGTATCCTTCAGTCTTGAAAGAACATGGTAATGCGCTCTGTATGAGTGTCCTCTCCAGAGCACGAAGCCTGGGTAAAATAATATGGAGGATAGGCTGTTACCCAAGCAGCAAATCCCCCCTCTCCAGGTCGCTGAAATCATCCAATGGAAAGGCAAGGGCCAATACAACTGGTTCCAGCGATGTCGCAGGAGTTGCCAGAATGACACAAACTGCCTCTGGGACTCCGGCTCCGGATTTTGCCTCGAGGTTAACTCCTGAAGCCTCAGTGGATATAGCCACAAGGCAGTGGAGGTTTGAAATCAGAGTTTTCCTTCACCTAGATGGGCTGCCTTCCAAAGTTGACGAGCCCCACCTATCCGGTCCAGGTGGATCGCGCTGAGTCAGAACTCTCCACTATGACCTGTCCGTCTTGGGTGTCCCTGCATGGCATAGCCCATAGCTTCTCTGAATTACTCAAGCCCCTTAGCCATGACAAGGCAGCAATCCGTGAGCAAGCATCACACAAACAAGTTTGGGGGGGGGGAGAACCACAAGGACATTTTATTGGATTCGCATGGTGTTCATTTGCGGCTGGTGCACTGTCCCTGGGAGCTGGTCTAGCCCAGCACTTTGTTCACCTGGGGAAGCTTGATGGGCGTCAGGGCGGCTGGGTGGGCTCTTCTGGCAGGCTCGCTGAATATACAGCAGACACAGACAACTATTTCTACTTTGTCATACAACCCTACAATAAAATCAAATTAAATCTTAACTGAATTTAGCAAAGTCGCCGCCCTTGGATAAGAACTGTTTTTAAATCTATTTGTCTTTGCTTTAATAGATCTCTATTGTCTTCCTGATGGCAGTACTTCAAGCAAAGATGTGTCCCAGGTGTGAGGTGTCCTTTATAATATTGTGTGCTTTTTAAAGACAGCAGGACCTGTACAGGTCCTCCAATAGTAGCTTCTGCTATTGAGCGATGGCCCCCCCCTCCCACACAAATCTTTGCACTGCTTTGGACCCTTCCCTCAACCTTTGACAAAGGCAATCAATAGCCTCTTCATCAGCAACTTTGCTTCCATGTTCTTTCACCCAACAGGATTTTGGCCCTTATTATTTTTACAATGACCTTTTTCTGCTCAGTCACAGGCTCCCTGGTTATCTGGATGCATAACGAAGCACTCAGAGGGCACTTCAGCATTACACTCAATCACCCATCCGCATTTGCGGGAAGTTTGGAAGAATAATCTAAAACAGTCCTTAATCAATGGACAAAACTGGCGCTGTTATTCCAGGGTGGCAGAATACAGATGGAGGCTGAGAATACAAGACAAAGAAGCATTTACACAGCTGGCCCTCCCCAAACCCTACCTTGTGTAAATAAATGGCTCCTCCAAATTTGATTTGTACCAATTAAAGGCCTGACCCTGAAGGAATACAGACCCTGTCTTTCTCAGTTATTCGTTGCTAAGGCAGGTAGAGAAGTACATCAAATATTGTATTCGCAAAGGCTTTCACGGCCGGGATCTAATGGTTGTTGTGGGTTTTTCAGGCTCTTTGGCCATGTTCTGAAGGTTGTTCATGGACAGAGTTCCTACTCCAGTCCTCTGGAGATGCCGGCCACAGAGACTGGTGGAACATCAGGAAGAACAACCTTCAGAACACGGCCAAAGAGCCTGAAAAACCCACAA